TATTGGATTTACATAGTGATTTGCGTCATGTTACACTATGTTTATTCTTCTGTTGACTGGCGGATTATCAATTAAATAATAAGTTAGAAGCTTGCAAATAGAAAATTTTAAAGAGGCCAAATAATTGAATTAAAGCAATAGGATTTTTGGAATATTTTCAGAATATTTCTAATATTACTAATATAATAATTTGGAATATTTTTGGAATATTTTCAGAATATTTCTAGAATAATAATTTGGAATATTTTCAGAATATAATTATATTTTTTTTTTATAGGGTAGATATCCTAATTTCATATGAGGAATATATATTAGAAAAGACAGATACAGTTAATGTTGGACCATTAACTAAAGAACAAGAAAAGAAATTTATAGCTTTATTAAAAGAATTTGCAAATTTATTTGCAAAAGATATTTTGGAACTAGGATGTACCAACCTAGTACAGCACAGAATTTATACAGAAGATGTATCCCCAATTAAATCTTGACCTTATAATGTATCTTCAAATGAATAGGAGTTTATCAAAGAAAAAATAGGAAGAATGTTAGAAAGTAAAATAATCTGATCCTATAGGCATCCCTAGTTGTTCTTGTACAGAAAAAGAATGGCAAATTAAAATTTTGTATTGATTACAGAAAACTTAACAGAATTACTAAAAAAGATATATACCCATTATCTCTAATCCAAGAAATGCTAAACACCTTATCAGGATCAAAATGGTTCTCAACTCTTGATCTTGCTAGTGGATACTGGCAAGTGGAAATGGATCCAAAAGATAGCAAAAAGACTACATTTATTGCAAAGTATAGGACATACAAATTTAATGTTATGCTCTTTGAACTCTGCAATGCTCCTGCTACATTTTAATGATTAATAGATCAAGTTTATAGAGAAATTGCTTGGAAATTTGTAGTTGTGTATCTAGATAATACTAACATATTTTTCAGAACATTTGAAGAACATTTAGAACATTTAAAAATAGTATTTAAACATATTAGAGATGCAGGATTAAAACTTAATGTAGAAAAGTGTAATTTTTGAATGAAGTCTTTACTTTTTCTAGAACATATTATTAGTAAAAATGGGATAGCCCTAGACCCAGCAAAAATAGAAACAGTACAAAAGATCCAACCTCTGACTAATACTACCAAACTACAATCATTTCTTGGACTTGTTGAATACTACCAACAATTTATTCAGAACTTTTCATCAAAAGCTCAAATGCTAAATCAACTATTATATTATTAGGGAAGTAAACAACAACAAGCATTTGAGATATTAAAAGAGAAATTTATAACAGCACCTATATTAGCTTACCCAGACTTTAGCAAGAGATTTATACTTGCTACAGATACTTTATATTATGGATTTGAAGCCACTCTTAGCTAGTAAGATAGAGATAGCAAGGAGCACCCTATTGCTTATACAAGTAAAAGTCTTCAATCTGCCAAACAGAATTATTTTACAACAGAACTTGAATGTGCTGCTATAGTATGGGCTATAGAACATTTTCATAGTTATTTAGGAACTACCAAGTTTACTCTTGTAACAGATCACTTAGCGTTAAAATGGCTTAAAACTACTAAACCTAAAGAACAAATCAGATGATGGATTTTGAAACTCCAACCTTACAATTTTATAATTGTACATAACCCTGAAAGAATTCACTCAAATGTGGATGCTTTATCAAGAATCTAATTAAAATATAATACTATAAATTTAGATCAGTATTATAATTTATATAATTATTTAAACACAGAAACTCTACCTACGGACTTTACTGCTTACCAACGAAAACAACTCCAGAATCAAGCAAAATACTTCAAGATTAAAGACAATCTTTTGTATAAAAGAGACAGAAAGAAGCTAGACAAGCCATTACGAGTTATAAAATGGACAGAAGTAGACCTAGTACTTTATATAATGCATAGTTATCCTACTGCAGAACATTTAGAAATTGATGCTATGTATTATAAAATTGCAGAAAGATATTATTGGGATGGAATGTATAGAGATATTAAAGAATATGTTCGAACTTGTGAAGTTTGCCAAAAACAAGGCAAGTCACGAAAAAAAGAATCTTTATATCCTATAAAGATTGAACAAGCCTTCGAATGTGTTAAAATAGACCTAGTAGGACTATTACTATTACTGACAGAAAAATCACTATATTATTGTTGCTACAGATTATCTAACATGATGGCCAGAAGCACAAGCTGTACATAATGCTAGTGCTGCTACACTTGCTCAATTTATATTTACCAAAATAAGGCCACACCAATTTAATTTTATGTTTAATATAACATTTATAGCCAATAAGATGAGGGGGGTATTAGAATAATACATACACGTGATAAAAATGTTGCAATTTGATTGGCTATTCATCCTGTAAAATAATATAATCAATATGGGTTTGTACAGTATATCAATATTATATATAGTCAGACCCTCCTAAATGCTACCCCAAGTGCACATTCTATAAAACACCTCTCTAAATGCACATCTTCTCTTGGGCCCAACTAATATTATATTTATAGATTTTTACCTTCCCAAATGCAATACCTCTCTAAGTGCACGTTTGACTAAATTTTTATATATGGTCCTGTTGCATTGCATTTAGGGAGGTTTGACTATACTTAAAGTGCTAACTAATATACTCAGATATTTGTAGACTTAAGATATACCCGGTATATATTTTTTTTTATTCAACTTTGCTAATCATCGATGTTTTATACCAAATATATATTTTTAAAAGCATGAAATATTATTTTTCGAGTATCCAAACATAAACCAAACTTTGATTCAAACTACTTCCGGGTACAAAATAGGAGGATCGATTTAATAGTTATATCTGACAATAATGCAACTTAGAAACTTCTGTTAAAACCAAAACATTAAAAAAAATTTTTTCTTTTATTAAGTTTTATATCGTTAAATATAGTATGTTCTGATCGATCTTTGAAATACTGTGTTCTTGAACTAAAATGCCAATAATATATAATTTATTAAAGGAATCTATCTAATCACATCCTTGTATTCTATGGATTTAAGTTGAAATTTTTTAAACAATCATGAATATTCTTATTTCTAGTGCTAGTCTATGACCTGTTATGACTTATGATTTACTATTTTATAATGTCCACCTTGGTTATATAAAGTCAGATATGATCTAAAATGGCCAGTACTGCTTATTTCTACTTGCCCAATTTTGTGTCGTTTTATTGCATAACTGACCATAACAATAAATTTTTAATGAACTTATTTTTTAAAATGCTTCACGGCTTTATTATTAGTTTTGATCGCTGCTTTTGTATAAAAATTTTTTCCATTTTCTTGACAAATTTCATATAATGGATAGATTTGCTTAAAACGTTCTTTTAAAGATTGCAGCAGAGTTATCAAATTATCACTATTTCCACAGTAATAACAAATTGGATAATTTCCTACTTTGTAGCTTGAATAGTACAATATTTCAATTGGAGAATCACAGCTAATTTGTGTACGTACAAAGATTACTTCTTTCAAATAATGGTCTTCAGAAAAAATCGGAGTACCACACGAATATGAATAAGAGTCTAATACTTGTTGATAATCAGACTGTTCATCATCGGTTAAGGATTTGTTACTATATATGCAGCGACGTTTTGACAATTTTCACACTTTATATAATCCCAGATTTTCTCTGCAATCAGAATAGATTTTGGGATAGGCTCGGATTTTTTCTGTGTCTGCATATATGTTGGTCAATATTCTTTTGTGGTTTTGGTTTCATAAACATCCTGAAAGGCTGCATAATAATCCATATTATCTAATGTTAAAATAACATATAGTATACAGTTATATGAACATACATTATACAGTTGTATGAACAAAACATTAGAGTAATAAATATACCTTTTGAAGGAATTGGATCCAGAAGAAAGCTCAATGTATTAAACTCATGTATTGGAAGATGAATTGGCTTACAATACAAGCAGGAAATATTATTACATTTTTTTACCTTTAAAGTTAATACATAAATAAGCAATAACCTTGTTGTAATTAATATTACTCAAAATCTCAAAGATTGGTTTTGGAACCCTCAAATACTGAGTATTTACATACCTGAAAACTGTAAACACGTGTTTGGCAATAAGTGTCAATAAATTCGATCAATATTGGATGCTGGTGTATTTGTTTTTGTGTAGTTTCTTCAATTTTTAGAGTTGAATCTATTCTAAAAATTGACTGTAAAATTTATCAATGATATTTTATATAAAATAATCGATATAATAAAGTTAAATAAAATTCATTAATTTAGCTACAGCAAACTAATTTTATTTTATTTACTTCAAATACTTCTGTAATGGCATCTTGACTTGCGGGAGAGTAACACCTAAATTTATTATTTTTTAACCTAAGCTGTTCTGTTCAGCTATTTAACATCTCTTGAATACTTGTGATACTTTTTTTTAACTCGGATTCTAATTTACTTGATCCTTGAGCTTTTTTACGTATGTCGCCCAATATATTCAACATTCCAAATAAAGTTTCAGATTCAATACTCATCGAGTCACGTTTTAATGCTATACCCTGAAGGCCCAAATTCAAAGTACTCATAACATGTTCTGCAGGATTTGTCCAGCTATGATTGGGTGCTGTACGAACTGCAGCAAGTAAATCAAATCTCCACAAAGAAAAAGGCTAATTAGTGCAATTTGTACAGAACCATAATTACAACGATGATCTGGATCTTCATAAGTGTAAAGACACAAAATTGGTGACACTTCTTGATATGCATACTGAATGTCTAGTACATTTAAAAATTCTGTTACATGTCTAATAGCGGTACTAGGTTCAAAAATTGTATCTTTATATGATACAAACACCTGACCCTCGTAAAATGGCACTGAAATTTCATTGGGTATAGATATAAAAAAAATCACCGATGGTGTTAAAGATAGTTTTGTGAAATCATGATCGGCAGCAGCCAAATTGCTTTCTTGTGTAACCATAGAATGTCGATTTCACACACCAGTAGAAACTGCAACATCTTCGCCTATAGAAATTTTGTGCTTATCATCAGCAGAAATCAAACAGGCCCATTGACGGTACTAGATACAGAATTCTCTAAGATAGCAGAAAAGTGCAGCACAATAATGTGCATCTTCACTGTTTTTTTGAAGCATCCGAGCTTGTACTTTAAATTTTACGTTAAATCGGCCAGTATAATATATAGCCCTCGTTGTAGTAACATTTGTGGAACAAAATTGAAGACGAATCTATTCATCTGATAGAATATTAATATCAGAAGGTAAAGGGTCACCATAAATAGTCTTTAATCTTTCCACTATAGTTTCACAAAGATCATGAATTGACAAGGCCAATGGCATATATAGAATAGCCCATGCCACCGCTCATTTACTGCAAGTAAATTCTATATTAAAATAAGTTAAATATAATAATAATAATAATAACAATAATAATAATAATAATAATAACAATAATAATAATAATAATAATATAACAAATCCAGTATTATTAACAATCACTCTCCCTGACGATCCCTCATACCAACTTCTCCAAAAAGGCTGACCTACGAAAACTATACAGTTAATATGTTTAAA